GCAATTAGTCTTAGCTGTAGGTGCATGGTGAGGGTAGATGTACAATAGATTCCCTATCTGATGAAATGTCTTAGATAAGCTAATGAATGTCATTTTGCACGGAGTCAGCACACGCGGCGTGCCCCCAAACTATTACAACAGTAAAGTAAGAACCATAAGTAAAAAAAACGCACCTTTGTTAAAGATTACTATTTACTAGCATTAAAAAATTTAAGTTTCACGAAAATCGGCAAAGTCAAGAAATGGCAATATTAAAAGTCGCTAATCCAATACGAAATATAAATGTTATTAGGCATAGGATCCCAAAAAACGTCAAAGTAATAGAGAATATATACAAATAAAATATTGAATATTTCGAGAAACGTCCATTCAGATTTAAAATTGCAGTAAGTCTGTGGGACACTGAGGTCATCAAGTTATCGATAGTTGTTTGTGTGATGTGGGTATTGAAAATATAATCCACTTTTTCTTCCACAGAAATACTTTTTGGCTTTAGACCAAAGTCTTTTGACAATTGCAAACAGATTTTCGAGTGGGTTAAGATCAGGGCTGTTGGTTGGAAAAAATAGATTGAAGGCCACATGTGGAGAGGTTGGTTGTAGTCTAAAAAATTATCTTACACTTGTAGATGTAATCGAATTCATACCTACTTTGAACGGTGAACTGGAGCATTATCGTGTAAAATAATTGTATTTATTTTGTGCCGATTGATGCCGTTGTAACCCAAGACATCTTTTACGATGTCGGTGAAGACCCTGCTGTTAATGCTGTCCACAGTGGATCGCCAAATTGCACTCTCGCCGAACTTTATGGCCATCCTGACCATTTATTCTCGGCAGTCCTTGAATGCTGCTGTCGGCGCAGTATGTTCTTTCGGAAATTTTTTTCCGCATATGACAGCCTGCGTCGCCTTAACAGGTCTATCTAAAAACAAAACCTCATCGCAGCAGTCGGTCATAAGGGGGAGGGGACGTGAGAAGGAATGGATTTAGCGATCGTCACCACAGCAATGCGAGGTTGATCACATGATTCAGAGTTCTGGTTTTCTTGTCCGTATTGCAGTGGCCTCCGCAAATCGTAGGAGGCGCCCCCTCGTCGCCCGAAGTACGACCTTAAATGCAGTCCTTTGGTCGACCGTATAGCCAGTGTTCACTAGGTGCTTTGTGATTGAACTCTTGGGTATTTTATTTTCCGCCCTGACCGTTACTCTAATTTATTAATAAGCAATGACCGTTTGCGGTTGAATAAGAGGTCTCGAACTTATATGGCGTCCGTTTATTCTTCTAGTCTCGTGATCTTTGTCTATGTTGTAATGGGTTCCAGGCTATTATTTGTGCCGCCCAGTCTCTTTGTGTTCGTTCAGCAGAGAGAACAACGAACAAGGTCGTGAGGGAAAGGAAGT